GCAGCAGTAAAACAATGCAGGTAAATATAACCAGCATCAGGCTTGTGCCTGAGATGGAGCAAGCCAGCAATATGTGAATTCATTACAGGTCAAAGAAGAGTATGGAGAGAGAGAGAGACAGGAAGGAAGGAGAAGGGGTGATATCGCTTGTTTCTAACATAAAACATTGGTGTTGCTAACATAAAACATAAGCTTGCTGTTGTGAAATTGGCAAAGAGCTTGTCATCTTGCAGTACCAAATGAACATAAAAGAAAAGAGCTTATTATCTTGGTTGTGAAAGCTCTACACTCCCTCTGTCTACCTGATTGATATTCTGGGAATCCCCGTGACGGGGTGAGCTCCTATTACTCTGTCCCAGCTTATGTCAACCTAGCAATACGAAAGCATGCCAGTGCAAGCAGATAAATAGGTACCACTCCAGCGAGAAGGTAAATGGCGTTTCCGTGCGCTCTGGTTTCCATCACGGTGTTCTGTTGCGCCAGAAGCGGTTTAGTCATGCTGACCACACGACCCGGAAAGCTATCTGTGGACAAATGCCCGCTTCCTCGGCGTGAAAGCAAGATTTGCTCCACACACCATAGTCACCTTTGACTGGACTTAACCGTCCAGGGGTTACCTTTACCTATTCTGGGAATATCAGTTTAGTTCCACACTGACACATGTTGTTGGTAGATGTGGCTCTGGGATGGATGTGCTCGCCTTTGGATGTGATTATTACTCTCTGAGATCACTCTCAGGGACCTTCCCCTCTCCTATGTAACTCAAAGGCCCTATAGCACATCTATTTACAGTATGACTCATAAAGTGTATTATGCCATGTCTGCCCAATAGGCAAGAGAGGGTGAATGGAGTGAAATGAGATGGGATGAAGACGATTCAAGTTTATCGAGTGTTTACATCATAGAACTGTTTTATATTGAGAGAAGGATGCCACATTCATAAATCTGTTTCCATGTTTCGAAACCTTTATTGATAAGCCAATACACATTTAATAGCAGCAACATACACAAATATCCCACTTTATAGCTAAGGCTACTTTCTCCTCTCATTTTCTGTTCAATGGCATATAATAGCCTGAGCACACTGTTCTGACAATGGCCAACACTGCAGGAATCAAATAGTCCATTATGACCATATACGCTGATTATCTATGTGTAACATACTTGCTATTACAAGGTATTTATTTATGAATGAGCCATTCCATCCTCATGCTCTTATCTTATCCATTCTTCCTTCATGATAATGTACCACATATTATAGAGAGCAACTGAAAAGAAAAGTCTCCTCGATCATCCATCTACTCTCCTAATTTCTTTTTTGGGAACAGCATTTTTTAAAAAAATGTGGGATGTTAAAATGTGGGCTTTTGGTTACAATGAACTGTCACAATGATTCCAGGGGATGGAAAGATATTGGAAAAATCACTTTAATGCAGATGGACTGGCTAACTTATATACAGTGAACACATAATAACTGCTAGAATTACTACTTATCACTACTACGTCATCAAAAACGATGCAGAAGAAAAAGCAAATGACACCAAATATTTCAGAACATATTTTTGCCTTTTCAGCTTGTTAAATATGAGATATCATAGTCAGTCAGGTATTATGACCTATTGTGATGTTGTATGATCTATTGTCAATATCTCATAAAGGCATACTTGATTCACTAAACAGTCACTGGTAATACTGATGCCCAGGTCTGGATTCCACATGCCTTAAAACTCCTATTTCATTTTTCCCAAACCTGGTGCTCTCTAAGTGTTGTTGAACTACAATTCCCATCCCTAACCACTGGCTATGTTGGCTGTGGTTGATGAGAGTTGCAGTCCAAAACATATGGAGCTTGACAAAATCAGACATATAACATCAATGTTCTGTGGGCTTCATTGGTTGCTAGTTTGAATTCAAAGTGCTGGTACTTATTTTTAAAGCCTTTTATAGGCTGTGTGTCCCTAGACTGGGATAAATAACAGAGAGTCTTCTTCTCCAATGTGTGACATTCCCACAAACACACATAGGCCTGCTTTGTATGCCACTTCAAACCACAATTAATCTTAACTATGGTTTAAAGGTGCTGGTGCACATTGACTAAAATAATGGGTGATTTATGCCAACCCCATTATTTAGCTCGGAGCTAAAATGTGGTTTGGGTTAGCATTGTGTCTCTTTCCAGATAAACCATGAGCTCTGTAATAAATGTAGGGTTGCTCAGGCGTAAGTTGGTGCCACTCCTGGCTAGGTTGCCTTGTTAAACCTTTTCTGTCTGGACAGCCCTTCACTTCGTGGCTGTTCAGTCGCTAGCAGAATCCGTCAGTGGGCGTTTCTTAAACCTTTTCCAGCATAAAAGCTGTTTGACCCCAAGTCTCCTCCTACTCTTCCTGCGCGGAAGTCTTCTGCGCAGGGAGGGTGTGGATAGTGGAGGACCCGTGCTCTCCTCGCTGGTCTCCAGCGAGGAGTCCTGGAGCCCCCTCGCCGATTCCCCCATCTGCCCCCCTTTATCCCTGGTGTTACGCTGATTTCCTTCCCCAGCTGGTGAGCCGCCTCTCCCCCTGCTGGGCCCTTCTCCAGCATCGCTTGAGAGCCTAGCCTCCGCCTCTGGCTCCGATGTCAGTTCCCTGACAAGCTCTAACCAAGATTTGTTCTTGACTTATTGTGTGTAGTTTGTTTGAGGAAAACAAACCATAGAATCATAGAATCATAGAGTTGGAAGAGACCACAAGGGCCATCGAGTCCAACCCCCTGCCAAGCAGGAAACACCATCAGAGCACTCCTGACATATGGTTGTCAAGCCTCTGCTTAAAGACCTCCAAAGAAGGAGACTCCACCACACTCCTTGGCAGCAAATACCACTGTCGAACAGCTCTTACTGTCAGGAAGTTCTTCCTAATGTTTAGGTGGAATCTTCTTTCTTGTAGTTTGGATCCATTGCTCCGTGTCCGCTTCTCTGGAGCAGCAAAAAACAACCATTCTCCCTCCTCTATGTGACATCCTTTATATATTTGAACATGGCTATCATATCACCCCTTAACCTCCTCTTCTCCAGGCTAAACATGCCCAGCTCCCTTAGCCGTTCCTCATAAGGCATCGTTTCCAGGCCTTTGACCATTTTGGTTGCCCTCCTCTGGACACGTTCCAGTTTGTCAGTGTCCTTCTTGAATTGTGGTGCCCAGAACTGGACACAGTACTCCATGAGTTCACAGTACTCCATGAGTTCAGGCTTGGGCATAACGCTAAGCTAAACCATAGCTTAGCTGCTGGCAGCAGGAGAAATGAGGAAAGAGTGAAGCAGCTGCAATTTTAGCCCTGTGCACAGTGAAGCCTAACTGTGGTTTAAAGTGACATGGAAACAAGCCCACAATGAAATCTGGTAGCACCTGATACCCAGTACTGCAAAATCAGTAATGGCCAAAACGGCTTTTTCTGTTATATCCCCAAGACTATGGAGCCACATCTCACAAGAAATTCACCAGATCCATTAGCTCAGTCAGTTCAAACAGACCTTTAAATGTATTTATTTTTTGTTCAGATTAGCTTTTGGCTGTTGAATACGCCAGCAAGAACTGCAATTACTGCTTGCCACTCCTGTTTGAGAATCTAATTTGATTATATTCCTTTTATTGATGCATGGTGGTTACTTTAATTATTGCATTGTTCCCCACCCCAGGAATATGAAATTGTTATTTGATTAACTTTCTTCTTTATTTAATTGTTGTATTGATGTATTGTTATCTTGATGATTATATTGTTCCCCACCTTGGGAATATGAAAGTAGATAGATAGATAAGATAGATATGTGGCTTTAAAAACAATACAAATGAAGCCCTATTTCCCCTTCCTTCCCTAGAGACTCTCTTGCTTGTAACAGATTAACAATCCTAATATAAAAGCTATTCTAGTAATAAAGAAGAAGCCTTAACAACAGGGCAGTCCTATGCCTACTCAGAATTGAATACTGCTGCGTTCAGTTGTACTTCCAGTAAAGATTGTTTGGAGGCCAAGGACTGCCATTCTGTATACCCTTCATCTGGGAGTAAATCCAATTAAACGCACTAAGGGCTCATCCATACCTCCATTTGTTCTGCTGCTTTCCCCCCGAGGAAACCAGAGGTTTAATCCTGAATCGGACCAAATGGCAATCAGGTTTTCCACATATTGCTGTTTGTTCCAATTCAGCAGTAAACCACTGGTTTTTCAGGGGAAAGCTGCAGGGCCAATGTAAAATGAGCAAGGTATGCGGAAGTAAGTTTCAGAATATTGGTGGGAGTGGTGCCAAAGAGCTGTTTGCAAAGAATTCCACGTAGAAGCTTCATGGCCTGTGTAATCACTTCCTAGGTTACTGGTTTTTGGTAGGGTTCTGTGTCTTGGCCGCATTGTGTCTATCCATAAAATGGAAGGGGCAACATTGCTTCAGATGCATCTGGCAGATTCAGCAGAGATCACATTTCGGCATTATTGGGGGATAATTCACATCCATCATTTAATTTTATGAAACAGTAGTATTTATAGAAACTATGGAGAGAGAAAAAGAAAGAAAGAATGATCTCCCATACTTATCTTTCATAAGTTCAGGATGGAGCAGGAACTCAAACTTTGGGGCTTCATCATAGTTGAGCAATATATAGAATATAAATCGACTGTGTACTCCCCACCTTTTGCAGTATTGTATTTTATGTTAATTTAAATATTTTGATTATGGCTTTTAATTGACATTTTTCTTGATGTTTTATTTAATGACTTTTTTAACTTGAGCCCACCACCCTGGGAATGGTGGCGAATAACTTCAGTAATAAACAAACAAGCAAAACCCAGCAGGAGAATCTAAAAGTATGTTTTGGATTTCTTATGAAAGAGACCAAAGTGTCTTGAGACTGATCCTGCCTCATCTAAGAACCAGGGAACAAATACCCTGCCTTACACTACATCAGGCAATATTGTTTATACTGACTTGGAGAACCTCCCAAGGTCTTCAGAGAGTGGGTGTTCTTAGCCCTACCTGGAGATGCTGGGGACTGAACCTGGGACCTTATGCATTCAAGGCAGATGCCCTGCCACTGAGCTGTGGCCTTCCCTGCCAATTGGGATAAACAGTTCTGGACCACATGAACCAACAATCTGACAGAGTAAGAGGCAGCTTGATATGTTTATTATATACTCTAAAGCTTTCTTCGTTGCTCAAGTTCTCTCTTTCCAAAGTGAGTTATCTGGGTACAAGGGAACTGTGAACAATATTAAAGATTAGAGCCAAGAGCATGGCAAGCCCATATTCAGAGCTTGTACTACAAAAATTCTCACTGTGGTGCATGAGATCTTGACATCAGCATCACAGTAGCACAACAGCTGGGTAATTGGGGATAACTCACTAGGCAGTAGCACTGCCAGGAAGGAACCAGAGTCAGCAACCTTGAATGAATCAATCAGGGAGCAAGCTTGAGTCAGCAAAGTAAAGCCATTGCCAACAAAACAAAAAGGCAAGTGCCACCTCGGAATGAATGCATTAGCAGAAATGCTGCATCCGAGGCGCAGAAAATAGCAACTCGAATCTGCTTGGCTCTGGGTAAGCCTTGACAGGAACATACTGGGAAGCTTTTAGAGGACAGCAGTTTTTATACAGCTAAAAACATTTCAACTGTTAAGGGCCGAAATGATGTGTCAAGGGTGTGAATGTTTTTTAGTTAAAAATAGCAGCTGTGGTGCAATCAGGATTTGGACCATGGCATGCAGGGAGTGGAATTTTAATCCTTCTCTTGGTGCCACACTCTTGACACACAGAGAGATGGTGAAGTTGCCATTGGCATGATTCCCTCCCAGGGACGGACTGCAGCTTCATGAGAGGGGCACAGTTTTCATGTGGAATTACAGCATGGGTGGAAATGGTTCAACCCACTTCCCGTGCACCACAGTCCTAGTCCTGACCCCCCTTAGCTGTTATTTCGAAAAACAAAAGGCAGACTTAGTAAAAACATTGGACGTATAATCTAGTTTAGCCCTACATTGCAATCCTCTGCACACTCTGTTTGAACCCTTTGATCCTTTTCTCATTAGTTCAATGACCAGAGACTTGGCTACCTAATTGGACACATGGGCTGTTTAATGTACAGGTAGAGAGTCTTTTGAGGGTTGCATTCTTCAGAAGACACACGCCAGTATTGAGTGGGGGCCAGAGCTAAAAGAGGACTGAGCCATGAATGTGACTGTTACATTTGTACAATAGGCTAGATTCCAGCCACACAAAAGTCAGTGTTTCCTGTACTCCCATACCTCTCATCCATCCCTCCAACCTAGCAAGATGCAAGAAGCACCATCTAAGCTCAAGGGCACATGGCAGCCAGCTATTCCATGTGCGTCATTTTATAGCATACTGTATTTTTGAATCACTACAATTGAGCACCGAGCACTTGGGCAGCCAAGATCCTATTCAGGAAGTACAATTGACGTTAAGTGTGTGGGCATTTGCTTATGCGCCTATAGAGAAAGTCAAACGAGTTCACAGACAAACCCAGCAACTTTATTTCCTGAGCAATGCTGGGCTTTTATGTAACAGGATAAAGTGAGCACTGCGGGACTTGGAGGGAGAGAGAGAGAGAGATTACCAATATTTGGAAAGCCTACAAAAAAGACTGAGGTGTTCTGGCTGTGAGATGGAATTAAATAACCTCTGGTGAAATGTCTCCCTCCCTGCCTTCCTCTCCATTTCTGGAAAATAAGAACATACTAATTGCTGTTCTGGGTGAGACCAGAGGACCATTTAACCTCATGCATCAGAAAAACTTGGAAACAGCATGATGGAGACTAGCAATGGCAGTTATTTTCTGCCAGTATCTGGTAGGTGAACCTATCACTGGTATCCTCCATTAGCTTGTCCTATCCTTTTGAAGGAATTAGACAATACAGTATATGTACTGTGCCCATCTAGTCCAGTTGCAAAAGAGAGCAGGGCTTCTGTACCTGTAATAGCTGAAATTCCCTCTACAGGTGCAGAAGCCCAGCCCACTCTTTCATTATTATTTTTTTATTTATTTACAGCATTTATAGCCTTTTTTGCCTCCAGGCAGCTCAAGCTGACATATGTGGTTCTCCCACTCTTTATTTAATCCCCGTAACAAACCTGTGAATATTGGGAATATTGGGTTAAGATGAAAAGCATTGACTGACCCAATGTCACCCAGGGCAGATCTACATTCATGATTTATAATGTTAAAAATGTGTTATTAAAATGTGACACCAGAGGGCGCTGCAGAGCAGCGAGCCACTGGCAACGGGAAACTACATTAAACATTATAGAACGTTATATTTAATAATGTTTAAAAGATCGATGTAGATCCAACCCATGAGTTTCAGGGCCAAGTGAGGATTTTCACTCTGGTCTGCCAGGTCTAATCCCAATATTCCAACCACTGCAGCACGCTGACTGACAAAGTGTACTACCTGAAGATCCATTTCATTTTGCTTGTCCTGGTCGGTGCTACTGTTTACAGAGATGTAGGAAGGAGCACCTCAAAAGTACAGTGGTACCTCGGGTTAAGAACCTAATTCGTTCTAGAGGTCCGTTCTTAACCTGAAACTGTTCTTAACCTGAGGTACCACTTTAGCTAATGGGGCCTCCCGCTGCCACCGCGCGATTTCTGTTCTCAGCCTGAAGCAAAGTTCTTAACCCGAGGTACTATTTCTGGGTTAGCAGAGTCTGTAACCTGAAGCGTCTGTAACCTGAAGCGTATGTAACCCGAGGTACCACTGTACAGCAAATTATGATACTTCTAATCTGTCTCTTCTCACTCCGTTTTCCTAAGCAAGAAGGCTCCAATTGTTTAGACTCCCTGAAGAAAAATATTCCGTTTCCTGTGCTTTCCTCTGCTACCCTGTGGCAACTTTTCTGATGCACCACAATCAGAGAGTAGTCTGCACAGTGGGAACAACAGGTTTCCATCACAGAAATGTATTAACTGTCTGAGGTTGCAGTCCTAACTACACTTATGTGGAAGTGAGTCCCATTGAATTCAACAGGACTTATTTCTGAGTAGGCATGATTAGGATTGCACTGTACAGTCAATCCCTTTCTTAGCAATTTGCAACACCATTTTATGCATAGCTTCTCATAAGTTCAATGGGCTGTCCTCCAAGGTTAAGTTTGCATAGATTTCAGCTTGAATTATTCTTTCTCACTGCTCTTGCACATTCAGTTGCTATCTTTGGTGAATTTCCCATGAGATCTTTTTCCTTGGGGTAAAAGCCCCCCTTAGATGTACGTACATTTTAATTTTTTTGTTTATATTTACTTCTTTGTTGCACAATTGCATATAATTGTGCTCTTCTGTTGGCCCATTGCCCAGCTTGGAGAGGGCTATCTGAACAATCACTAATAATTTCTCTTTGAATGTGCAAGCTGTTTTACAGTTTTCATTTTGTTTGTGCTCTCACAACGACACTGTGAGGCTGGTTATTTACATCCCTATTTTTAATTTTTACAAACAAAGAACAGATGCTGAGAGATAGCAAGTTGTCCGAGATCACCCAGTAAGTCTGTAGCTAAGATGTGCTTTGCATTCAAACCGATTCAGAATGTTAGCCCTTCTTGGCTTTGGGTAACAACAATACAGTACCAGTGAAGTTGCTGAGGCAAGGGAAAAGAAGGGAACCATACTTGGGTAATAACAACATTACAGGCTCTGCAGATGCCAGTTGTCAACTCTCTTGTGATGCTGGAGAAACGTTTAGTGCATGATAAGGAGTAGCAATGGTGGTTGTTTTTTTAATATTTTAGTGTGATGGGCTTCAGTGCATAACAGCCTGCAAATCTAAATAACAAGGAGAAGGAGAAGCCTGTGTTACGGCAGTAAATTCCATAGATTAAATTATTCATTGTGTAAAGAAGGTACCTCACACACTGAATAATTAAATGTGTGGAATTCACTGGCACAAGTCATTGAGGTGGTCTCTGGCTTAGGTCATCTTTAAGAGGGCATTAGGCAAAATTCGAGGAGGAGCTATATCTCTATGGCTAACCATCAACCAGTATAGAGGGAGGGAGGGAGGGAGGATGAAAAAACAACAACTTCTGGCTCCCCCTGTGCTGTCATCATCCACTTGTTTGCATTCTGCCTCTGGGCTCTGTGAGGGAGAGAGCAAATGAGTAGCCAAGAAATGCCATGGTCTTCCTCACATTGTCACCTCCCATTGTCCCAAGCTCACTCAGGCCCTCTGGTACTTTTCTGTGGCTGTATCCTGCACCAGCTTCTTGACCATTAGTAATGGTTTTATTCTCCTTTAGTTTGTTACACAATGCTTCCCCAATGCTACCATATTATCACTGGTGGAGGAAGAGGAGTGTGGGGGGAGCGCACCGCCCCCAGCAGCACAATCCCAGTAGGGTGCCATTGCGGCTCCCCCCCCCACCCATGCTGGGTGCCACGCCCCTGCAGGCGGCGCGCCACGCACCAGGACGCGCGCCAGCCCTGCCCCTGCCTGCTGTCCACCCCCCCCCGGTGCCAGAGCATGAAGCTCCACCACTGTATATTATTGCTGTCTGGAGGGGATATGACACAACAAAAGCAAGGGGGGAAAAATAAGCCAGAACATTTGAGGTATAATAAGCCATGAGATTTCAGCAGGAAGTTATGGGGAAAGCACTGATTGGAACTGAAGCCATGTGACCACCTCAAAACTTTTATTTGAAATAAATTGAAATACTATTTAATATACATGGCTGAGTCACACATGCAGCCACACATGTGCAGCAGCTGAATGTGTGAACCAACTCTATTGAAAAATGCCACAGAGGGGGATTCAACCAATCGGTATCATCAGCAGAAGCCATGCAAAAGGATTTTCGCTTGTGCAACAATACTTCTCCCTCTCCTACCCCACATGCCCCCAGAATTGGCTCAGCGGGGTGGTTAGGAGAGTCCCTGGAACTGCCCATGAGCGGAGCAGAGGGGATCTTGTTTTGCTTGGCAAGCTGATATGGTTGCCATTGTGAAACTATCAACATAGTGCTAGGTTTGAGGCAGCTTTGGGTGACAGTGGTGTTTGAGTCACACAAGCAAACTGACCCTGGACATTGAATTTTA